ATAAGGTGTTCCTGCAACACTCCTGGATAGAAGACAGTAAACTGCCGCTGCGTATTGCCTCTTGTGGTATTGTGCATAATGAAAGTGACACATCTGCGACCATAATTTAGTTAATGTCGGTATGAAAATGCTTGCAAGATGTCGCCTAAAAATATTCAATGGAGGGTTTGTATAATATAACAATAAACCCTTTTCACCGCTAATGCATGTACAATCTCGTTGATCTCGTTGAAAGGAATAAACAGAAGTTACAGTTATCTACGTCTGGCTACGGCTTGCGGTTGTCAGTACTGAACATTCCTCAAATAACATGGCTATGATATGCCACCGTCACCACGTTGATTGTTTGATCAAACGACTAGGTATAAGTATAATTTCAAATATATGTAAAAGTGAGGAAGAAATCTGCCCCAAACATGTCCATTCCACTTTTGTACGCTTTTCGAAAGCTCTATGAAATGAGCAGAACCAGGGATGTAGTGCTGCTTCCTGGTTCTGTACAAGTAATCAACCAACCCTTCTCAAAGGTTACCCATAATCCTCAATACTACAAAGAAGGACTTTATATTCACAGACATTATTTGAAACAAGCTGGGGTACCTCCACTTAGAGTCTCTCCAATACCAATGATTTGCTCGGAGCTGTGCCCTCAGATAAGTACCAAGTCCAGTTCTGTCAAACGGTTGGTTATTCAACTTTTTGTATACCAGTATCCCACATGGATGAACTGAAGGTAAACTTTATACCTTGGTCCATCGTGCGTTTGGTTCTATAGTGCGTTTGGCTCAAAAGCGGACCGATGAATTGCAATCTAACTCGAAAACTAATAAACATATAATACTCAATGAAACGCTGATCATAATCCTCCTTCGTAACAAATAGTGAACTGTGTCAATATTTTAATGATAGTTTGTTAAATAACTTATTTATTTTTAGGACATAAATTCTGCAAAAAACTCACAGAGTTGGTCTGACGTTTTGATTATGATCAGTGTTTCAGTGAGTATTTTCTGTTTATTAGTTTTCGAGTTAGATTGCAATTCATCGGTCCGCTTTTGAGCCAAACGGACTATAAATGTAGTAAGCATAGCTATAATGGCATTCTATGGTCGCAAGGAGTCGAAAACAAAGCTTGGTGTTCTGGCGATATTGACCACGATACTACTGCACCTAAAAGTAGGACTGCACGGTATTACCGATATAGCGGTATATCGCAATACACCTTTAAAACTATGCGTATGGCAATGACTTTTACTCAGAACCTTTATATTGGGTAATACCATATATATGAAGTTTTGTGATTAAGTCTATGGTTTAAATTAAAATCTACACATTAATTGACAAAACAGCATACTTTACATACAAAATATTTATAAAAAAAGAAAATACAATCCTAATCAAAGCTAATTCGAAATTTCTGTTATCACAACCATTAAGGTTATTTTATGGTTTTAGTGTGTAGAAAATAGGCTCTGCGTGTACAATCGATGTCGCTCAATGTGAAACACTTCGGCTCTGAAAAATCGCAATTTATTGCAATACAATTTATTTTCCAATGCACAGCCCTACCTTAAAGTAACAATTTCTTTATACCCGTGAAGAACAGGATTAGAATTGATCTTCAGCAACTCATGCCTCGTAAGAGGCGACTACCGGGATCGTGTGGTCAGGTTCGCTGACTTGGTTGACACATGTCATCGTATCCCAATTTCGCTGCTAATGATGTTCATCGTATCCCAATTTCGACAGAATTGTCTGGTCCAGACTCGATTGCTTACCGATCGCCGCCATATAGCTGGAATATTGCTGAGTGCGGCGTAAAACAACAAATAATCAAAGAAAAGATTTTTCAAACTTTTCCCTAATTACTGAATCCCGGAAATATGTGTACATGTGTTCCTTGTGTTGTCTTAGATGGATGTTCCTGGACCACGGGGTATTGAAATGGTCCCTGTTTCGGATTCAGGAGAAAACAGCCGTTCTAACAACGATGATGAGGAAGATAAGCGGGGGACGTGGGGATCACAGATCGATTATCTGCTGTCTCTCATTGGCTACTCCGTCGGCCCTTCAAACGTGTTGCGTTTTCAGTATCTCTGCAATGTTAACGGTGGAGGTAACATAAAAGCATTACGATAAGGCAAATTGTTATAATATACGGATGTTTGTGGCCTATAGCCAGTATTGTAAAATTAACACTATAGATTATGTAAATAATGTTGTACTTGTAATTCACTTGTATACATGATTAAATGTACTCTCCTCTCTGTATGAAATGAAAGCAAATGTTATAAGAAGTTAACATCTGTGAAATACCACACTCCCTTAATGCTATCATATACCACAAAAATTAAATTGTGAGTGTAAATGATTTAGACAAGATATAGGCATCCCCTTGGGCACTAAAGTATGCCCCCATTCCGTTGTATAAAATATTAGTATTTAACACGTTACATAATTTAGTCTCGCCACTTTTTTGTTGTATCTGGTGCGGTGGGGTAGCCCAGTGGTTAAAGCGTTCGCTCGTCAAGACGAAGATCCGGGTTCGATTCCCCACATTGGTACAATGTGTGAAGTCCATTTCTGGTGTCCCCAGACATGATATTGCTTGATTGTTGCTAAAAGTGGCGTGACACTAAATGCTCTCCCATTCTTTCTTTGCAGGCGCATTCGTCATTCCCTACTTCGTGTGCCTGATGCTTTGCGGGCTACCAGTGTTTTTCCTTGAAGCTGCCTTTGGTCAATTTTATGGAAAAGCGCAGCTCATGTGTGGAACGTGTGTCCTTTAATGAAAGGTATGTTCCTATTTCTGAATGCACAATGTTCTGTTATTCTACGGAATAGAATAAAATACGGTGACATGAAGACCCAGTTAATTATGTCAGTTATTGTAATTATCTTCATACCCTTTAATTTAATTAAGCATAGAATACGTATGATCATGGAAGGGTGACCATGCTTCAATAACTGACAAAAACCTACAGTCAAGGTCGTTGATTATGTAGGTCAAGGTCGTTGACTATTTTGCATGCTGGGTTGTTCTTCCGTAGCGCCATAGGTTTTGAGGTTATAAAAGTTTTTGGGGTGATAAAACAAGTTTAAAGACATGTATCGCTATATGATCTGCTATAACATCACCTGCACTGATCGACAGTTTGTCTAAGGGAAACTGCCGTGAAGACGTTGTTGGTTTTGATGGATTATATACATGAAAATAATGACATTATCTTTCATGTCAGGTTCTCAAAATTGTTTTTGATAAAATTACTGTTTTGTCCAAACAATCCATTTAGTATATGACAGTACATGGCTGTTAAGGTATTTTAATATCAATGCCAGGTCTTGGAATCGGCATGCTGATCGTGTCCGGTGGTTCTACTGTGTACCTCACTGTCAACTGTGCTTGGATGACCTACTACGCTCTCGTCTCCTGCTATACTGTCCTTCCCTGGTCAGAATGTGGGAAGTCCTGGAACACCGAGGCCTGTGTCAGACGTGTTAAAGGGTTGACACCAAGATTCACTGAGCGTATGATATAACAAACGGTTACAGAATACATATTTGAATTATTATCAAGTTAAGTCACGTTTAGTCATGACATGATGTGGATATGTGTGTGTTCATACATAGATGAAACATGGGGGAAAGAGGGGAACGTTGCGCCAAATTATCTCATAGCTAAGAGTCCTATAAAGGTTTGTCGAAATTCCTGTTCGTAGCGATTAAGGTTCTTGGATTGTCTGCACAATTGGTTTAATCAAAATGGTAAATATGCTGATGTACAAAAGAAAGTACACACCTGGTGTTTTGAGACCATTAAAAACGTAAATATTTTGCTAGCAATGTTCCAATTGGGTACGATATCTATGGTGTTATTCCATCACGTACACAATATTTGTGACTTGTTAGTCACAATCAAAACACTTTTCTAAATATTACGCTGTTTTTAGAAAACATTTTACCAAAGCATCAGGGGCCTTATTCTCGAAACGTTCGTAGCCCTAAAAAGTCTTAACTTTGATCGTAGCCAATGTGTTAAGAGTGGGCTTAAGAAGTTCGTAGGGCTACGAACGTTTCGAGAATAGTTGGCCAGGTGTGTACTTTCTTTTGTACGTCAGTTTATCTGCATCATTTTTTATTATTCCTCACACATTTACTTGACACGTCATTATGTAACACACTATCCGACATTCAACTGAATCCACGCCCTCACTCATCATTAGGTAGGCCGTTATTTGAGTTGACGAAACAAACACAAACATTTCATTCCGAAAATGTTATGTGCCTAAACCTAATCACACGAAACATATGACTTAACATAAGCATGTATATTGAAATGCATCATCCGTATTGTGGATTACATATCAGTCATAAAAATTACGAGTCTTCTGGTGGGATTCACATTCTGACCGGGATCGGGTGGTCAGGCTCGCGGACATGGTTGACACAATGTCATTAGTTCCTAATTGCGCAGATCGATGCTCATGCCGTTGATCACTGGATTGTCTGGACCAGACTCGATTATTTACAGACCGCCGCCATATAGCTGGAATATTGCTGAGTGCGGCGTTAAACTAAGCTCACTCACTCAAATTCTGACTTGTCCATATGACCAAACAGGTAAAATGTCATTTGTGTGTTAACTTCACGCCCTGCTACAGACTCCTCCATCTACAGACAGATAGTGGGGTACTGAGACTTATTTTGCTCAAATTATTTGAAACCCACACTGGGCGCCAATGTAGCGTCCATTAAATGGCCCGTGATGGGATTGAAACCACTGACCTTCTAATCCGAGGTCGGCGCCTCGTCCATATGACCGGTCACCAGCAAGCTGACAATGCAAGGTTGCCATCTGTACAATGACTTCAAGCCCTGCCACAATTAAAAATGTAATAGGCATGAGAAACTGGCAATGGGATCGATTCCCAAAGTTTCCAAGCTAAGTTGGTTTATCTTCCTTTTGTATTCAGACAACGACACATCTCTCCTGTTATACAATGGCACCAGAGAGTTTGGTAAAGGTGTGTGGTTGCGAAACGACACATTATCTCACACAGCAGCTGAAGAATTCTGGCAGTATGTATTATATTTTATATTTACACATATTCCATGCTATTCGTTGTTGAATCTATTCTGATATTTTATGAGTGCAGTAGGTTATGTTGAATGAGTGAAATGGTTTTTATGACTAATAGATTGATGTTCATGATGTTGGTCATTGGATTGTTTGGTCTCGATTACTTACAATCCGCTACCAATATAGCAGGAATGGCGTGCAGCGTTAAACAACAAACAAACAAAACGCATGTTCAGGCTTACGATAAGAAAACATGTACATATATAATTAGGGAATATGATGTGCGTTTTGGAGGCTCCATATGTAATAACTGCTACGTTATGCTAAACTACACTTACTAACTCTTTTATGGTATTTAAGGCTTTTGACCTTGACTCTTTTGTGCCATGTGTACCTCAGAAAATTATTGATGCATTTGTCTGTATCCGGTATATGTACTTTGCATGTTTGAAGTCATGTAGAAACCTGTTGGTCTTGTTTCCAGCGGTGACATTATAAGTAGTGTTCTGGAACAGGAACCCGTGAAGATCCGGGTGAGAATTGATCTTCGGTAACCCATGCTTGTCGTTAGAGGCGACTAACGGGATCGAGTGGTCAGACTCGCTGACTTGGTTGACACTTGTCATCGTATCCCAATTGCGTAGATCGATGCTCATGCTGTTGATCACTGTATTGTCTAGTCCAGACTCGAGTATTGATAGACCTTCGCCATATAGCCGGACTACTGCTGAGTGCGGCATAAAACTAAGCTCACTCTCCTCTGCAACAGGATCAAAGGCATGATCTGCACATCATGCATGAGGCTTTGTTTCTATTTCATCATGACATTTCATACATACAATGTATGGATCCCAGTGGATGGATTCCCAGTTCCATGTCTATGTCCTCATTTTGCTGGAATATTGCTGGAAAGGGCCTAAACCCACACTCATTCACTCACTTTCACTTACATATGCACCACTACTTTCATGGGTAGTTACAAACAGAAGCACTGATCCCATCTTACGTATTGCGATACATATTCAGGTACAAGGTTCTTGGAATCAGTTCAGGATTGGATCAACTTGGTAGTATCCAGTGGGAATTGGCCTTGTGTCTCTTTGCTTCATACCTGGTGATATTCGGCTGCATTGTAAAGGGCGTTGTTACCATCGGAAAGGTAAGCAAGAACTGTCGATAAGTGTGAAGATAAAGTGAGTTTTAATGGTTCAGCTGAAGTTGTATCACTGAAGATAACCATGTAGGTCTTGAAATCCTGTAAGTCCTTTCCTTGTGCGTTCGTGTGTGTTAATGTTTGTATGAGTGAGTTTATTGTTTGTTTTGTTTTGTTTGTTTGTTTTGTGTTTGTGCGTCTGTGTACGTTTATGTAGGTGTGTTCATATTTTGTATTTGTGTGTGTGTGTGTGTGTCCGCGTTTTGCTAAGTTAAACAAATATGAACATTTCTTCGGTTTTCCCAAGGTTGTGTACGTAACGGCAACGCTGCCATACGTTTTCCTCAGCGTCCTGCTCATCCGTATTTTAACCTTACCTGGAGGACTTTATGGTGCTCAGGTTTTCATCACCCCGGATTTCAGCAAACTACTGCAAATACAGGTAAACATTAGACTGATGGCCAAGGAATGTTTACCCGTTATAACACATGATATATTTCGTATTACACTTTTGCAGTAAATCTCGGAGCGTCGGGTAGTCCAGTGGTTCCATTGGTACGTCCGAAGACCGTCAAATCGTCCTAAAGTCACCTCGTGGCAGATTTCTACCGGCTACGGGCTGAGATGTTTAGAGGTCGACTGTCCTCACAGACCATTTCGAAATCGGTTGCGGGCTGCCAATCTCCATTCTCGACGTCCATATCGTGGGCCAATATTGACGCCGTGACCAGGTTTACCCTCAGATTCGCGGACGCCAACTTCGCATGGGTACAATGTGTGAAGCCCATTTCTGACGTTCCCCGCCGTGATATTACTGGAATGTTGCTAAAAACGGCGTAAACCCCAACTCACTCACTCTGTAAATCTCAGTAATTCTAAATATAACGTGCGTACATTTGACCACTTTCAAGATGTTATTGTGTATTCATTTACCCATGTTATAATATATACATTATATATAAAAGGTCTTTGGTGTATCGAAAACGTTTGTTTTTGTTATTAACTAATAATATATTCGTATCAACTCATTAAAATCAGATCTTAGAGTTCGCTACCGCTGCACAAAGATGTACAGACGTCCCATTCCAGGTCAGGTGAGAACGACCTTTCGAAAGCTTTGACTGGCCAATTGCAAGACAAACAAGACGACGGCACTAACCAATCAGAAATCATCTTCCTCGCGCTCAACGGTATTAGTTTAAAACTTGAGACTTTCTTTCCTGGCTACAAAGGAAAATTCAAATTTTGAAAAATGATTTAGAGAACATTCTCGAGGCCGAGAACGGAATATGGAAAGTCTCTTCCGTTTGAAATGCTTATAAAGTTACTGTAGAAGAGGTAGTCGATTGGTTTTGACGAGATTAGCCTGTAACGGTCGATCGGAATGTCTCTTGTTGCCATGCTCGAGTTTGCATGAGTAGAACAACTTTACCCTTCTGGTGAACGACGTTGTGATTGGTGGGATGAGACGTCGTTTTGACGTAACCCGTAATGTGAACACAACTTGTTCAGCAGTAGCGAGAACTAATTTCTGAGCTCGATGATATTGACATAAATTCGATAGAAGACAAACGTCTGAATTCCCACCAACTGTTGCAGGTGTGGCTTGAAGCATGTGTGCAGGTGTTCTTTTCGCTCGGGCCAGCGTGGGGAGGCATCATATCAATGGCCAGCTTCAACCCGTTTCATGCTAACTGTCTCAGGTGACAACATCACTTGTCTATAATAGTTAAATGCGACACACAGAGGAAGGCTGTACTGGTGTTATGTCCATATAAAATACAGTGAGACCGAGTTTCACCTCCATCTGTCTGATGTCACACCCATCTGATACCACAACCATCATCCAATCATTGTACAACACGTATCATGACGTATAACTTCATGACATGAATTTTTATTAGTACAATTCAAATCGTAACATGATGCTTTTGAGATATTTTGCTAAGTGGCATTTGGGATTTTGTTTTAATGTGGATTTGCTGTGATTCATCATCCTATCATTGTACAACACGTATACGAGACCATGACTTATGACGTCATGGCATTGTTTGTTATCGGTGTCATCACAGATTTTCAGTGATCCATTTTTAATATTTTCACAGTTATTTTCCTCTTTACACCAGGAGAATTTGTTTGTGAGGAAATTCAAGACTGGGTATTCTCTTGCACTGATGTTCTATATTATACTAATAGTATATTTATTTATATTATACTTCTCCTTTCTATTTGTAGTGTTACTTTTCTTAGACTTCAAATGTGAATATCTGCCGATGTAATTCTGAAAAGCTTGTGAAGAGAGCTTTCGCTTGATATGACACAATTAAAATAAAACCATTATCAAAGATTTGACAATGGTCCTCTACTCCAAAACATTGGTGACAGGTCAAGACGACTGGCCCTCATCTTGAACAATCTTCATCTTCCTGTTGAACACAACCAGTTTAGCTGTTTTTAAATCAAATCTGAAGACGGTCTCTTTGCTGAAGCTTTGAACTCTATGTGGTATCATCATAGAGCCAGAGCGCCTTGACGGATTACGGATATTGGCGCTGGTTTGTATGTATGTATGTCCTGTTTTGAAGACTTTTATATGTTATGAAAGAGCAGATTCAAATCAGTGCTGTTGCAATTTGTGAAATTATATTTGACTAGTGGCGGTTGTGGTCGTGCGTGAAGCGCAGTTCAGTTGGATTGGGCGACTTGGATGGGTGACCGTGTTTGGCAGCTTGACTCCTGACAGTTTCTAGGATTTCAGTCCTGCCCCACAACGAAGCACATGTGATACATGTGGTCTCACCCTTAGGAAAGTGAGTTTGTTCAAACTTGCCTCTGTTCACCCAGCAGAAAAATATAAAATGTGACTATTAACCTTCTAGCGCCTCACAGGCATATTGGGTTATCTGGGGTAATAATATTCAGATTGTAGCGCTCTGAGCGTGCTGTCATTAATCTTAGGTGCCTTCATTTGTTAAAATTTGAGACGAGCCAAGGGCGATGATACCCTCTCCCACTTACAGCAAATCATTTCGTTTGTTGTGTTTGAGGATACATGACACTTGCTATGTATTCTAGTTTTCCTATTAATTTTTCAATATAATTTTGTTAAAGGAATTCGATCATCTGTACTTTGGTTTGTGGAGGAACAAGCATATTTGCTGGTGTCGTGACATTCTCCGTGCTTGGATTTATTGCTCATGAAGCTGATGTCCCCATCACAGAAGTCTTATCCTCGCTCATGAATTCTGATTTAGTCGTATGACGTACCATCATCTAGATTATCTTATCCTCGTAATGTACAAATTTGAGGTAATTCTTTTACGTGATTTAGAAATGCTCATATGACGTGCATGCGTTGATTGTACTAGCCCAGACTTAACCGGGATTTATAGTGCTAGCCCACTGAGATACCATGCCGCAGTGAAGCATGTATACCCCACTCAGACACATTATACTGACTCCGAGCCGACCAGTCCTTGTTGTACCCATTAATGCGAGCGCCAGGCAGGGACCAACAAGTACCATATTTTAACGTTTTTGAATCGAACCCGCGACCTTCCGCTCTCCGGGCGGAATTACACCACGGAGGCGGTCCGACATTTGATAGAGATTTAATACATCTATAGTCAACTTAACAATCTATGCCAGTGACATTGATTTACTCTCCAGGCCCGGGACTTGGTTTCGTTGTTTACCCAGAAGCCTTGGCCCAACTTCCGTTCCCTCAGCTGTGGAGTTTCATGTTCTTCATTTTGCTTTTTATCTTGACCTTGGATTCACTGGTAAGAAAGAAAACATGTAAGCAACGTTAAAGCAAGACTATGTCATTGCCATGGACTCTGTCGTTAGCAAACCATTCTTCTTGTAACGTTCTGTAAATAATTGAGTTGGACCAGACAATCGAGTGACTAACATCCTGAGAATCGATCTACGCAATTAGAATACGATGTGTCAACCAAGTCAGTGAGCCTGATCACCCGATCCCTTCAGTCGCGTATGAAGACACGCATAGTGTCGATTCTAACCCGGATCTTCACAGGTTAAAGTTAACAAGAAAGACGTGTACAATATGAGTTTGAGAGTACCTTGTAACATTGGCGTTTTAGGTATACCGATGATTAAGTTGTTTAACCGTTAATCATTCCTGAACATTGTCTGACATTACCGCATCAGTGAATTTAAATGAATGAATATGTGATAATGAACGACCGTAAAGGAAAGACAATCATGGTTACATTCCACAGTTTGCAATGGTGGAAACTGTGATATCAGCCATCATGGATGAGTACCCTTTTCTGATGAAGTGGAGGATGTCAGTAAATGCCGTGTTTTGTGCTGTATCCTTCCTACTTGGTCTTATATTCGTCACTGAGGTAACAAACTCTTCACTATAATCGTATTTTGGTTACATTACAAGGACATTTGCCTTATTAAGACATAATGTATATTCCCCACGAATAACGAACAATCGGGTAAAACTACAGAATACCGGATACCTTCCGCCATCTTTGAAAGCACGTGAGTTTACTTAGGGTTAGCTAGGGTAAGGTTTAGGGTCAGGGTAAGGTATAGGGTAGGGTAAGGTTTAGGGTTAGCGTTAGGGTTAGGGTGACGTGACACCAAACAATATGGCTCGTATGTATCCGGTATTCTGTAGGTGTACCAAAAATCGTCTCAAATACTTGTTTGATCGGCGTTCTGGAAGTTGGTGGGTCAATAATGAAACATATGACTTTATGGACAACAACTTCTTTATTGCATAGAACCACTTGTGGTGTAGATTCTTACACCGTTATCACGCTTAGGCGTTGTGTGTTACATTATGTACTGTTCCTGTACTCCGGAGATGTTCTTGAGCAAAGTCTAACGTAATCCTTTTTCAGGGTGGAATGTATGTTTTCCAATTGGTTGACTGGTACTTTGGAACTATCTTCCTGATCTTAGCCGGACTTTTAGAGTGCATAATCCTGGCATGGGTATACGGTAAGGCTGATAGACGTCCGAAATAGTTAACAAAAACACCGTGCTTACAGTTCGGAAAAAGTGCATAAAAAGTGATGTTTCAAACATAGGTCAATGTGCACATGGAGAAAGGTATCGCTTCGCCTCTTTTTTTAGTATCAATATGTAACCATTAACCTTGGCAAAGGAACATATCGAAACCTCACTTTAATTTGTGGTCATTTTTATGATTCGGGCATGCAGTGAGATATTGCGTTCCATTTTTCATGGAGTGCTTTCTCCAATTCTTAAAGATTTTATATTGGAGGATCTATCTGGCCTATTATGCTACCTATAATGTCTCAGACATGCTCTGTAAGACTACCGCCCCGCCGTGATCTTGTTTGCTAAAAGCTGTAAAACCAAAGTCAGTCAGTCAGTTTATGTACCTGTTGTCTTAGACATGCTCTGTAAGAATTCAGTCAGTGTTGTGTGTTGATCGTCAGATTGTGGATGATCGTCACAAGATCAGGTTTACAGTTACGTGAGTGGTACCTAGTATCCCCACACCATGAATAAACCCCAGCGGCAAAAATTACTTGCTCCATTATATTCCGTTGTGATATGCACTGTTTCTGTGGGGACAAACATGATCTCGGCAATCAGTCATTAATAACAGAAATGGACTTTCGTCCGACCAGTCAACCCTTCCTCATGACCTCAGATTTCAGTGACTTCCAGCTTGTAGTGGTTCATGCGTGCTCTGGGGACAAGAACGGACGTCAGCTAGGTTGAACAGACCGTTCTGTTTGACAAGCGTCGATGTGTCTGCCACTCGACATGAACGGATGAGGGGCGGTGGGTTAACCTATTGGTTAAAGCGTTCGCTCGTCAAGCCGAAGACCCGGGTTTGATTCCCCACATGGGTACAATGTGTGAAGCCCATTTTCTGGTGTCCCCGCCGTGATATAGCTGGAATATTGCTAAAAGCGGCGTAAAACTAAACTCACGCACTCACTCATGAACGGATGAAGTTTTGTGATTCGAGATAAGCATTCTGTATCCTCCCTAGGAATTGCAACACGTGGTCGACCTGAACACTGACGGTGTTTCACGTCATTACTTTGCTGATGTTTCAGGTCTGTCGGCTGATAGTGGATGGATGACCACCAACATCTCATGGACATTCGGCATATCAATAACTTGCCATCTTTGAACAGTTTTCAGTCGAGGATGGACTGTATTTGTTTCCAGTCAATTAAATCAATTGATTTTCCCAATTATCGAGATGTTAGAACAGTTTACCGAAACTTGATATTTGCTTAATGGGTATTGCACGCGATGATCCCCATGGTCATAGCACGTGCATATCTAAAATCAATGTATGGTGCGACCAAAGGGTCACAATAATCAGGCAACAAATATCACACACATACACACACACACACACACACACACACACACACACACACACACACACACACACACACACACACACACACAGAGTATGACCAGAAAATATTGTGAATTTTAGGAATATGTTTAATTGGATTTCTAGTATAAACAGCCTCGACCAGCTATCAAATGTTTGGTTTCATTCAAGAGTGACAGCTCCGTTAATCCATTTTCATTAGTATGTGAAGAGTTACCCCCTTTTGTTTACTTGCTAGCATACGACATTTTCAGGGATCCTCAGTATGGAGGATTTAGAGAAGAGAAAGTTGATTTTAGAGTATTATAACAAGGACATCAGATCAGCTAAAGTGATTTCAAGTAGAACAGGCATCCCTTTGTCCACTGTTTATCGTGTTTTGAAAAATATTGCAATTGGATATGGCACTAAGCACCAGGGAGGCGCAGGTAGGCCCAGAAAATTGACTGTCGGTGACAGGCGGCGGCTTGGTATTCTTGTTTCTAAAAACAAACGCAGGAGTTTAGAAAACGTTAGGCTGGATATGATTGATAGAGGAACTGTAGCTGTCTGAAAGGAGACAATTAGAACTGAGCTGCATGCAATGGGTTGGCATAAAAGTCGAGGAATTCCATCACCGATCATGAAACCTGAACAAAAGGAGCGAAGGTTGTTGAACTGGTGCTTACAGCATAGGAATTTTAACTGGGACAATGTGATTTTCTCAGATGAAAATTCTGTGTGGTTGTTTCCTAACACACTGAAATTCTGGACCAAACAAACTGAAAAACCTTTGTATCAGCGCCCAATTAAGTACAGTCTGAAATTTAACGTGTGGGGTGGCATATTTGTGTTAGGGGCAACGCTCCTCTGTGTATTTGAAGGGAATAAGAACAGTGAGCGGTACACAGATATTCTCGAGGGACATTTACTTCCATTTGCTCACGTGTTCTATGGAATTCTTTTGATCTTCCAGCAGGACAACGACCCAAAACATCGTTCAAAGCATTCACAGGCCTGGTTTCGGACCCAAAATATGACAGTATTAGATTGACCAAGCTATAGCCGTGACCTAAATCCAATAAAAAATGTTTGGGGACTTATGAAGGAAAGTGTCAAAAACAAAAATCTGACAAATATTGCTGAAATGAAAGAAGAGGTGGTCTGATATTGGGACAGCATGGACCATGGTGACTTGACAAAATCCTAGTATGCCCCACCTGTCTCTGAAGGGTTATGTTCTGCTAATATTCACATTGATACGTGAGTAATGAACTGTTCAAATTATACGATCTTTGAATTCTCAATAATTTCTGGTTGTACACATATATATATATATATATAAATATAATATAATCTTATATATATGTATATATGTATATGTATATATATACACACACACACACATACATATATAGCCTTATGTATATAAGGCTAAAATCCATAAGTATTGCGATACTTTTTTCGTGGGTATATCTAAGTGCAATATTTTGAAATGTGGGCCATTTATTTAGATTTTCTGAGAATGAAATCTTGTCAATTACGTCATGTATTAACGAGAATGACCAAGAAAAAGAATACAAAAGTCATGTTTCACCTCTGTTGCACCATCCTTAATATTCAGCACTTCTAGCAAACTGTAGAACCTTTTGCTATAATACAATGATTGACCTTCATTCGATTTCTGCTCTTTGGCCAAATATTTAGAAAGGTACATGTTCATCAAAATATACTTTTAGCAGATATTTAGTGCAAATACCGTTTGTACATGGCTAGGGCTCCAGTGACCACGGTGCCTTGTTTGACAAATGCAAACCTACAATGGGAAGGATTTAATTTTCCAGCCTTTCAAATATAACTTTTCATAACATTCCTAAACAAATGCAACCCATGGAAAGTGTTTATTGTGTTGGTCGTCGTTTCAGGAGTAAATCGAGTCAGTGCCGACATTGAACTGATGTTAGGTAGACCGGCTCCATTGTTCTTCCGAATCACCTGGTCTTACATTACACCCGCAATGCTTTTGGTAAGGATCACTAATAATACCTCTGGGACGATGGTTATGGGAGTTTTGGGAATCGTTATTACATCAATGTATCAATGTATGTATATCAATGTCGATTTTGTATGAATATATGGCGTATGGCGTGTTTCAGGACCGTTCAATGGCAACTTAGAGGATACAATATACATTTAAGAATTCACACCATCAATGAAAAGTGTGATTTAAATGGCATTTTAGTTTGCTTTGTAGAAAAGAACTGACTTATATTTTTGACTATTTGCAATAAAGTAATGACTTGGTAACAAACGTGCAGTAGTGCCATCACTGAATTTCAGGTTTCGTATAATGTTCACGGCTAATTATATGTCACATGGAATTTCTTTCGGTGGATAATCGAGACAGATTATTCGCTGGCGTTGGTGTTTCACAATTACTTTGTCGTTTCAGACAATATTCATCTTCACTCTGGTCCAGTACCAGCCTCCAACATACGGCAGATACGTTTATCCCGACTTCTTTGCTTCTATTGGATGGTGCCTCGCAGCCATTCCGTGCATTCCATTGGCCGTGATGATGTTTGTTGCCATCTACAGAGAGGACGGGAGTATACTGCAGGTTCTTACATATATGCACATTCTTAATTTGTAGTCGTGTAAACGTAATGACAACCAATGCTGTACAGTTATGTAAGGAAAAGGTTTTAGTAGGTATAGTTAACTGCTGCCTTAAAGGGTGGGATTAGATAGCACACGTCATCTTAGAACATGTTAAGCTATACATGAACCTTCAGTTTATTTGACACCGTGAAGAAAACAAAAACACTTGATGACACTTGCCAGGTAGGTGGACAGGTAGGCTTATAACTCGGGGTTATTAGCTCACGGTCCGCAAAGGTGTACAAGATGGAATGTTCTAATGAGACTCGACAAATGGAAAATGTAACCGAGGGTGTTATTATTTAAGTCGTAAGTATGAGGAAATACAGACTTTATTCAGTAAGACAGAAACATTAGTTTAATTGGAGCCTCGTGAGACTTAGTCAAGACAGACAATTTGTTAAATTCATCTTAATCTGTTCAAGGGAATATCTTATGCTTGCACTTTACAGAGATTCAAGAAGTCCTTGAAACCGAACAGTTCCTGGGGACCTGCCAAAGTGGTAATTCGGGCATCATATATCAACAGACACGGAATGCATTAACTTTCCTAGGGTTCCTGATTACCCATTTCAAACGTACTCTTTTACATATAATATTTCACCTTGTGATAAATATTCTATGGATATTTTTCACCTTTCAGATTGTTTTGTGTCAAGCTCATTTTGTGATGGGTATTGAACAATATGAAAATATGTCAAATGCCTATTAATTTTGAGATCCATTTGAATCACACTTGTATAAACTGAAATAACACTCAAATCTGATTTGATACCAACATGTATTATATGTAGAAACTGCAGTTTTGGCATCTAGTCATGCATATATTAAAGAGACACAAAGTATAATTTAAACATTAATCACCTTTTGTCTTTCATTAATAAGTATGCATCTGAATTTTGTTCACCAATCCACTCCATGTAAATTTTAGAAATAATAAACTATGTTTTAACCATTGTCATAACGCCGTTCACTGTGTTGTGTTTATGTGTAAAATTACATAGGGACAAAACTAATTTGTTTTCTATACAAATGAATAGTTGGTACTTATCGTATTTTCTTGTGATATTGCTGATATTGCCAGTTAATATTGAAGTTTGAACAGTTCCTTGATCATATTAGTGCTTGGCAATTAGGTTTCTAAATTCTCTCTCCCCGTCTTGCCTAAAACATCCTTTAATATATCACTGACAACAACATATCAGAGAGAGACACATACGATGAACGCAATAAACACAGACGATTTAGAGAACAAACAGATGATGAAAACTGAGAAATGTTCGCTAAACACTACCTGTCGCACTACATTTTCCCTAAACTGTACCCAATATTCACACTTGTGTAACCTGAAACAGTTTTAATCATAGCTCACTGATCGATGGTGGCAAGAGACAGACTGAGGAGTGTTAGATCCTGAAATGATTCCATGCCTTCTTCAAGAGACTAACTGAAGTCATGTTCATTGTAACTTTAGTGTAATGTGAATTTGCACGGGCACATGCACATGCACAAGTTTTTATATTATTTCATATTGCCAGTAGATGCCAGTGTCTTTTGTTTGTCAGTGAGTTGTTCTTTCGCAAGAGGCTTTGATCATATTGTTTGGGATTATTTATGACAACTGGACAAATATAAGATAAATTATTATGCCATTGACAAAGACTCTTCTTCTATTGTTAATTTTGCAATTTGAAATGTATTTAAATACTATTATGTTTCCCGTTCCATTCTTAACTAATTAAAATCCATTGATTTTTTGTCAATAAAAAAGAAGAAAAAAACCGTATGCCTAATTATTTGAGTTTGCCTTTACTGGACAAGATTTAGACATCAAGCATACGAAAGGCAAGGACAATATTTTAGCTTATGCATTATCACGAGTTGGTTGAGTGTATGTTTTACTGCAGAGACGAATCATATATTGTAAACATTTCTATTAATATTTACTGTACTTTTGATTAGTGCTAGCAAAGAGAGCACTCTCTGTGTTCAAAGAGTTTTCTCCGAAAAGGGAGGGAGTCATATGGCAGCGTAATATAAATATGTTCAACAATGGTGGAAATTTAATATATTTATTTAGTTAAAATTTAACAGAGGTTCATATTATCGAGTTTTAAGAGAACAGCATGCACTTATCCACATACGATAGGACATTCTGGAAGATTATGAAAAACTATTGTAATATACAGCCCTAATTATCTTTTCTCGTATTTGGCCTCGGGTTAATTCCGGTGTGTTTCCATTCGACGAGTTTTCCCCGTCGGTATATAGGCAGTGAGTTTCATTGCATTTATCCTCAGTCTTTGGATTGTGAGACGGAATACCGTTTGAATAACATTAAAAAACTACTCGATGTTGTGTACATTGTAATCCATATCCTTTTTACCTGATAGAACTTATATTTAACTGTCGTTTCGTCAGAGCTATTGCTTCGGCAATGTTATCCATGGAGGCGGCCATTCATGATGACGTCATGAGTTTATGTGTACACAGTTCGTTGACAAAATTACTTTTTGCAAATTCTGTATTTTAAGCGTCAAAAGACATTTCCACAATTATAATGAGTCCTGTGACGCTCTACATTTATTATTCTGCACCAATAATAAAATATGTTTTGCTTGTTGTTTATGAAACAAATTACGTCATGAGGATTGTGACGTAGTTCTGGTCACTTACAGTACAGTTGACAGTTCTAGACTGATTGTGGTGGATGCGAGTGCAGATTTTCCGTATATATTTTCACCGTATCTACCGAGAACACCACAATATTAAACAATATATCCAAGCTTTGCTTGAGACAAATGTACTTAATCAGAAGTTTGTTCTGATTTAAATAATATTTGCATTATTGACTTGAAAAATTTTTATGCTTAATAACACTTGGTCAAACTTCATGTTGTCATCCTGTAACAACAGGGTAAAAAAGCAATCCACAGAACAGACATGCTACAAATAAAATATATTTTTCTTTTTTACCCCCATTGATTCAACATAACAAGCTCTGAGCTCTGTAGCTCTTAGTGTCACCGTTTGACCAGGATATACTCATCTTTTGCCGAACATTTGTTATTGCTTGCAACTTCGTTTACGGAATTTCATGTTTGCAACGATTATTTACGGTTAAACAGAAGTGTGATTATGAGCAACTGATGGCTGATCACTTACTATGTGCTGTTTTCACGTGTTTGAGTACTATGCCGACAAAAACAAACAGGCAAATGTACAAAATATGTTCCGACTTGAAGAAGCTAATAACACTTGGTCAAAGATCCCAAACTCAATCTCAGAAGACACTCAGTTCATGAAGCCTTTATGATTCAACAAATATGATTTGACATCAATGACCCCTTACCCGCAGATTTGGACACACAAAGTGTTTATTTTGATTGCTCTGATTTTTTTGTCTGGCTTATCTTCAGATGACGTATCATAGCATGCACAGTTCATGATCCCATACACTGTCTCTGTTTTATCAACAAAACATAATCAATACACTATTTGGTTAAATAAACCAGAAAAAGAAAAAAACTGTCCTAGAAAACGCTTAAAAAGAATGACTGTGCTTCACATTGTTGAATAGAGGAACTGCCAGCCAAAGAATTATTGTTGCAAAATATCATTTTATAAAAGATATTTAGATTTAGGCTCACGGTGTTATCTTAAAAATATATCTGATTTTGCGGATGTAGCTTAAAAATAGTCTCCGTGGGTACTACTAAAACCGCTGCTATATGGCTGGAATATTGCTGAGTACGGCGTTACAGAACCAACTAACCAACCAAGTAAGCATCCGCACCCCATCCACCCCAGAACGTCAAATGGTTGGTCCCTTAAGAATAGAGCGTATTGAATACATTAACAAACGATTTCTTCCTACGCTCTCTCAGATCGCTACCGGGAACGTTAAGGCATAGCCATATACATCATGATGTTTTGGCTAAAGGATGTATATACGTTATTAGTACCATCTGTCATAATTTTGACATATGCAACCAGTGTCCTGACTCTGTGCTCTAACAACAGATACATCGAGGACACTTACCTCGCTCATGATGTGTACGACAGCTTCGTCAGCCCCTCTCTGATGGACTGCGTTGCAAGATGTTACGCTCACTCCCAGTGTCAGTCAGTTGGATTTGAACCAGAAACCCTGAAGTGTCATCGTCACACGCAAAACAGTACCCTCGCCCCTAATGACTTCATCGTTCTCCCCGGCCGGGTACATAGTGACAAGGACGTGTGGCCAGAGGTGAGTAAAACTGAAAGAGTAATTGGTTCAATTTACACAGAGTAGACTATCGCTAAGGTAGGTATGTGTATATAGCCCGTTTGGCAATATCCTCTGCTATTACTATCACATCCTTCAAGATTCCAATGATAGAACTATCACCGCGTTGCCCTCTTATAATATGCTTGTTTGGTGGATGACTGTTTCGTTCGACAGTGAGATGAGTTCGGGACTTGCAGTGCACCTTGTCCTTAATTGTCAAGTGTTCGCAGTTCTAGTTCCTTTAAGCATATAGTCTGTTTCACTAGTATTTCCCTTCGCTGACTTCGTAGATCAAGTCAAAAGTCAATACAAGTGTATTTGTAATGAAGCCAAGAGCCCATATTACAAGATATACAAAACTTAGTTAACAAATTATACAAACGGAGTTAAAAGTGTTTCTAAATGCATATTTCCTGTTAAATCGGCATGGTAAATGTACACGTTTGATTAGATTCTCCTGAGATGAACATAATAGACTTTTAGATTTATGCATAGAAGGCAATTACCATAAGTATTCCGGAAGAAAGGTTGTTCTCAAATCATTGTACAAGTGACATACAAGAGAGAAATGATACTCATCCTCTGTAGAGGTGTTGCAAATGAGACAGAAACCGAAAAATTTCAATTGATTGCCACCTACCTTCATTATAACGTAGTGGCAAGACATTGCATCTAAATTTGGTGTAAGCTAAGCGCACCTTATTTTCGATTATGACATACAGTTACAGACGCCGGCGTCAAATAGCTGGAAAAGCGCTGAGTGCAGGTGAAAAACCAAATACAACAAGAAACAATCAAACAAATAAATGATTTGTTCCGTATAAAGGATTTACAACGAATTACACTGGTACATAGACTCCGTTTCTGTGTATTAACTATCCAAGTTTAATCATTTAATCCTTTGAAACATGCGTCATTATTATGAGTGAGTATGGTTTTACGGCGCTTTTTGCAATATTCCAGCAATATCACGGCGGGGGACACCGGAAATGGACTTCACACATTGTACCCATATTGGGAATTGAACCCGATTATTCAGCGTGACGAGCGAACGCTTTAACCATTAGGCTACCCCACCGTTCCTCATTATCATGACATGCCACAGACAATACAGAAATTGTGTCATGAATGTAAAACGTGTTTTAGTCACTATATGGCTTAACTACTGTCGATTCCGGTAAATAAGAAATATTACAATCCAGGGAAGACGAAACAAAATATACAAGGTATTGTGGTTAATTGTACCGAACAAGTTCCGTGACATATGAAGATGTTGATTGGTTTTGTGAGTACTTTGACCAGCGACTGAAAACACGTCCGACTGCTTCTCGCGCATGCGCACTCTCTCACTATATGAAGAGCAAATTAACAAGATAAAAATGGTGATCGTCTTCTATACCTAAATTCCATACAAATCACTGCCAAAACATTTTCCTTCGTTTATTTTTCAGTCTTAGCAAAACTGCTCCCAGCTTTATAAGAATATTTCGATACTTCTCATCCACATCAAACTAAATATATCTTTCCGGTTACAGTATACATTTAAGATTTCTGTACAGTTTATATCTTGATGTGAAAATGATGAGAGTGTTATCATTTATTCATATATAACACGAGTCAAAGGTACATTTAGGCCCGATAGAGTCAGTTTTAGG